GTTCACTTAGGTTGAGTCAGTCAGCCTACAGCTGGCTCCATGTACACCAAATCCTTTGGTTCATTTGCTGCTAGAGGATGACTGCTCCAGGACAATGGACAATAAAAAACTCACCCAGGCTGGGTGGTGGTGGCGCATGCCTTTAATCCCAGCACCAGGGAGGCAGAGGCAGACGGATCTCTGTGAGTTCCAGGCCAGCTTGGTCTACAAAGTGAGTTCCAGGACAGTCAGGGCTACACAGAGAAACCCTGTCTTGAAAAAAACAAAACAAAACAAAAAAAACGAAACCCAACCCTCCCCAAAACCTCACCCAGGTCCCACAGGTGTGGCAACCTGGGTGGAATGTGGGTGTCCTTTGGAAAGAGGGTCCAGGACAGGATTCTCCCAGATTGTAACTCTTGCTTTCTGTTTAAAAAGCGCCCCCTCTCTCTCCAGTGTAGAGGACGCTCAGGCAACAGCGTCAAAAGTGAACTCACAGACAAGACAGCCTTAATAAATTAGTATAATACTATTAGAAGGGATGGCATTTGTTCTGTTTCTTAGGAGCATTGTCCTACGTGCAGCCTGACAAGCTCCTTCCCTGGGAAATTTAAAAAGCCGTCCCCGTTAGCTCTGATGTAAAATTATAAAATAGAAATCTGGTAGGGTTTGTTTTGTTTAAAAAGGAAAAGCCCTGGAGAGGCGGGCGGTCCCGTGCAGTCCTGTTAGCTTTGGCCATTGGGTCTGCCCACAGAGTTCCCTCCAGGAGGCTGGATCTGGATGGAGTCCAGGAAGGGCCGAAGTGCTTGTCCAAATGGCCTGTGGAGAAACAGACACAGCTGGGAGAGCTGCAGTGCAGCCTACCCACAGACAAAACGGAGCCATGCATGGTGGTCATGGCAGCACATACTGCCTTTCTTTTCTTCTGAGACAGGTGTCTCTACAATGTAGAGTGTGGTTCTCAACCTTCCAAATGCTACAACCCTTTAATACAGTTCCTCACGTTGTGGTGACCCCAACCATAACATTATTTCCTTGTTACTTCATAACTGCAATTTTGCTACTGTTATGAATTGTAATGTAAATATCTGATAAACAGTACATCTGATAGGTGACCCCCAAAGGGGTCGAGATCCACAAGGTGAGAACTGCTGCTCTACATAGTTCTAGCTATCCTGGAACTCACTATGAGACCACACTGGCCTTGAACTCACAGAGAATCTGCCTGCCCCTGCCTCCCAAGTGTGGGGGTTAAAGGTGTGCGCCACCATATTTTTTTAGTTCTTTGAGTATTTTATACAATGTATTTTGATCCTATCAACCCTCCCAAATTCTTCCTAGATCACCCTACCTCCCTACACACCCACCTTTGTGTGCCTGTCTTTTTCCCCACCAAGGCCATTCTGTGCTGCTCAAATATTCTTGGATATGTGGCTTTTCCCTGGAGCATGGCACACATATTAAGTGTTGCACTCTTGAAGAAAGCTGGCACTCGGGCAGGGGAGGGATTTCATATCCAGCTCCCCTCTCCATGCCAGGCTTTGGTCTGGCTTGTGTCTGCTGTCACAAGCACTGGGAGGTCTTGTGTACAGCTGCCCTGGAGCATCCAGAAGACACCGACTCCTTGTAAGCATCCACGGCCTCTCTATTACACTTTTTCTGCCCCCTCTTCTGCAATGGCTCCTGAGCCTTGGGAGGAGGGGTGCAGTATATGCTCCATTTAGGGTTGAGGATTGTCCAGTCTCTTACTTGGCCAGTTGTGGGTCTTCTTAATCAGGATCTAATACCACATTGGTCTTCATAAGGGGGCTCTGTGGTTTAGGAAGTATTCCCTATGGTCCATGGGTTAAAAAGACTTGGTTCTCAGCCTGTGAAACATGTGAGAGGTGAGGCCTACTGGGAGGGTTTCTGGTCACTGGATCATGCCCTGTCCCTTCTCCTCCTCTTTGCTTCCTGGCCACAAGCAAGCAGCTCCTGCTCTACCACCAGTGACAGTGTCAGGAGACTATGGACTGAAACCTCTGGGAGTGTGTGCGTGCCAACATAAAGTCTTCCTCTTTATAAACTGATTAGCTCTTGTATCTGCTCCAGGAGCAGAAAGCTGACTAATAATTTTCCAAATAGCTTGGTTTATGGGTTGTTTTGTTTTGCTCTTTGTTTTGGGTTTTTCTTTTCTTTTTTTTGTTTGTTTTCTCGAGACAGGGTTTCTCTGTGGCTTTGGAGGCTGACCTGGAACTAGCTCTTGTAGACCAGGGTGGTCTCGAACTCACAGAGATCCACCTACCTCTGCCTTCCGAGTGCTGGATTAAAGGCGTGCGGCACCAATGCCCGGCTGTTTTGGGTTTCTCAAGACATGATTTCTCTATGTAGTTCTGGCTATTCTGTAGATCAGGCTGGTCTTGAACTCACAGAGATCCACCTGCCACTGCCTCCTGAGTGCTGGGATTAAATGCATGCGCCACCATGCTAGGCTTTGTTTTATGGTTTCAGTCCTAGTTCCCCTCCTCTGTGTAGGCTCTATCATCTTATTACTGATACCTGCCTGGCTTCCTGAGCTGTGGGGGAACAGGCTGGCTACCCATAGGGAACCAGAGCTCTCTGGATTTGATGTACTTGTATCCTTTGTTGAAGGGGTAGGGTTTAAGACAGGTCTCATGTAGTCTAGGCTGGCCTCAGACACCTTGTGACATTGAACTCTTGATCCTCCTGCCTCCACCTCCCAAGGGCTGGGATTACAGGCATATACCAAAACCACCAGTTTACTTGTATCTTCAATTCTTTTGAAGAAGATAAAAATAAAGGTGGAGCTGAGGAAAAGAGGGGGAAGATGAGGCAAAAGAAAAGAAGTCAGGATGATGATGTCGGGAGTGAGGGTATTCCAAAATTAAGAGTCTTCTAGAAATGGAACTCTTCTACTGAGTACAGGGAATAGGACAGTCACGTGAGGTAGCCAGGTATTGGTGTTACTTTCTAAAGGGCACCTGGATTGTTCTTTTTTGGGGTGGGGGTTTTGAGACAGGGTTTCTCTGTGGCTTTGGAGGCTGTCCTGGAACTAGCACTTGTAGACTAGGCTGGTCTTGGACTCACAGAGATCCACCTCTCTCTGCCTCCCGAGTGCTGGGATCAGAGTCGTGCAGCTGGAGAAACACTATAAAAATGTTGTCTGGAGACTTTTCAAGGTCACTGTACCCTTAAATAAAGCACTCAGGGGCAGGGGCATATGGATCTCTGTGCATCTGAGGCCAGTAAAGTCTATACAGCCTTAGCTGGGGCTACATAGTGAGGCCTTGTCTCAAAAAATAAAATAAAGTGGCTCACGACATACTCTGGGCACAAGCTTCATTCTCAGAGATTGCCGCCCACCCCGCCCCCTTTTTCCTAACTGAATATGTAGCTCAGCTTGGCCTCAAACTTACTATGTAGCTCAAGCTGGTCTCAAATTCGTTATGATCCTCTTGCATCAGCCTCACACATGCTAGGATTATAAGTGTGCCTAACTGATACTACCATATTTGAAAATCACTTTTAAGATCAAGAGAATAAAGTACTCAGACTGATCCAAGTATTAAATACAACCTAATTCAGACAAGCTACAGGACCCCACCCATTAAGTAGTAACAGCAAAAATGTCTGGCTACTCAAGGATGCTCAGGGTCTCCTGAACTAGATCTCTCTTGGCAGTGATGTTGTTTCACAAATCTAACAGAAGGCGGTTCTATGCCTAGGAGACTTAGCTCCTCAGCAGCTTTGTTTTCTAGGCTTCTTTGTTTTTCGAGACAGGGTGTCTCTGTATTGCTTTGGAGCCTGTCCTGGAACTCGCTCTGTAGACCAGGAGGGCTTCAGACTCACAGAGATCCGCCTGCCTCTGCCTCCGGAGTGCTGGGATTAAAGGTGTGAGCCACCACTGCCAGGCTGGACAGTTTTTTTTTTTTTTTTTTTTTTTTTTTTTTTTTTAAACTGAGTTTATTTGCTGGGATCTCCTTTGGTCAGGACCCCAGTTAAGGAAAAACTGAGTCCGAGGCAACAAATGGGCACTGTCCTAGAGTGGGCAGAGGCAGCTTTGTACAATCAGAAAAGGGAGTGGTATTATATGCCTTTGGGGAGTTTGGGTCCTTTCAGGGATGACAATTGAGTGATGGCCCACAGGCTTCTTCCCAAAGCTGAGACCCCATCAGGGGCAGAGGAAACCTCTGTTGTTGGGGCTGTCTGTGCACTGTAAATTCAAGGACAAGCAGAACTTAGTCTTATGATGGTGTCAAAGAGCTCAGGGTGTGGTTGACAAAGACAATAGTTATGAACTGGGTTATCCTGTTACTCCGGATTCTGCTATCTACTGAAGTCCACATTCTAGCCAGATAAGCTCTTCTGGGAAATGGCTTTGTGTATATGATACCAGGATTTTATGTCAACATCCAAGCTGGTGTCAAGTTGATTTCTAAGTTCTGTGGTGGCACTTAAGCCAAGCTTCAAGGAGGCCTATTGCACATGGGTGGTTAGGAACAATGGTGGCCTTCTGTGATACATCCTGCCACCAAACAGGTTCAGTACTGGCTAGGAGGATTCTGCTGCCATAGGGGAGGGGCACTAAGTATGAGGCTTTCCTGTCTCTTTTCTTTCTGAGATATGATCTCACTTAGCTCAGGTTCATCTCAGGAAACTCCCCGTGTAGCCAAGGCTAGCCTGATCCTCCTGACTGCCTCCAATGGGGATTTTCAAAGTTGGCAGGGCAGAAACATTGGTCACACTTACGTTGAGAGAACTTCAGAGGGCAGGTCAGTGATGTAAGAAGGGATCTTCCGCCCAGTCAGGAACTGCGCCACTTCATTGCTAAAGGTGTTACAGTTGTGTTCAAAAAGATTGTAGGCTTCTCCTCTGTACATGCAAGAAAGGTTTGGAGAGCAGATGAGAAAGCCAGCAGCTTTGTGGAGTTACTTACTGTCACTATGGAGTGGGGAGGTGGGCAAAGCCTTATGTGACGACTATGGCCAGTCTTCTTAGACATTCCAGAAGGACTGCTGTCTGCAAATCTGAATCTACAAGAAGTGATTTACAAGGGAAAAATGAACCAAAAATGTATACTTTCTATATAGTTCCAGAATTTTTACATTCAGAACAGGATGAGGATCAGAAGTGAATCCTTAATGAAACAAAAGTTTTTAAAAAGATTTTCTTTTATGTATGAGTGTTATATGAATGTATGTGCACCACATGTACGCCTACTGCCTGTGGAGATCAGTAGAGGGGTCAGACACTTTGTTACTAGTTACAGTTCATTGTGTGCCTCTATGTGGGTACCAGGATTGGAACTCAGGCCTTATCCTTCAAGATATGCTCAACAAGTGTTCTTATCCTCTAAATCAGTAGTTCTCAACCTTCCTAATGCCATGACCCTCATGTCACGATAACCCCCAACTGTGGGATTATTTCTTTTTTTCTTTTCTTTTTTCGAGACAGTGTTTCTCTGTGGCTTTGGAGGCTGTCCTGGAACTAGCTCTTGTAGACCAGGCTGGTCTCGAACTCATAGAGATCCTCTGCCTCTGCCTCCTGAGTGCTGGGATTAAAGGCGTGCGCTGCCAATACCTGGCTCCATGGAATTATTTCTTTGCTACTTCATAACTCTAATTTTGCTTTTGTTTGCTTGTTTTTTTGAGACAGGGTTTCTCTGTGTAGTCATAGCTGTCCTGGAACTCACTTTGTAGACCAGGCTGGCCTCAAACTCACAGAGATCTGCCTACCTCTGCCTCCCAAGTACTGGGATTAAAGGTGTATATTACCACTGACTGATGAATCTTTTATTTTTTTAAGATTTATTTATTATAGATACAATGATCTGTCTGCATGCATGCTTGCACACCAGAACAGGGCACTGATCTCATTACAGATGGTTGGGAGCCACCATGTGGTTGCTGGGAATTGAACTCAGGACCTCTGGAAAAACAGCCAGTGCTCTTACCCTCTGAGCCATCTCCTCAGCCCATGAATCTTAATGTAAATATTTGATAGGGGGCTCTCAAAGGGATTGCAACCCACAGGTTGAGAACTATGCTCTAAGCCATCTCTCTAGCTTTTCCTCTGTATGGTTTTTTGTTTGTTTTTTCCTGAGACAGGGTTTCTCTGTGTAGCTCTAGCTGTCTTGGAACTCACTTTGTAGACCAGGCTGCCCTCAAACTCGGAGATCTGCCTGCCTCTGCCTCCCAAGTGCTGGGATCAAAGGTGTGTGCTACAGTGTGGGCTTCAGGGATCAAACTCAGGGTGTCAGGCTCTATGACAAATGCCTTACCTGATGAGTCCTCTTACCAGGCTTTGACTCAAGTCCTGTTCCCCCATCCCACAAGGCAGGGTTTCTCTGTGTAGTTCTGGCTGTCCTGGAACTCACTCTGTAGGCCAGGCTGGCTTTAAACTCATAGAGAAGGCATGTGCCATCACCGCCTGACTAAGTTTTTTTCTTTTTTTTGTTTTTTGTTTGAAACAGAGTCTCTAGCTCAGGTGGCTTTTACTCCATATGTGTCTAGGGATGAGCTCAAACTTCTGTTCCTGCCTCCATTTCTTGAGTGCAGGAATTACAAGCATGTGCCAACACGCCAGTTTAGGTTTCTGTGGTGCAGGGGATTGAACCCAAGGCATTGTGCACAATGGAGAAGCTCTACCAGCTGAGCTACATCATCATCCTGACTAAAGCCTCTTAAGATAAATGAATTCAAGTTGGCATTTCATTCCATTTATCCTACAAACCCTGCTTTCAATATTTAGGAAAAGCCACTTGGCCACAGGATATGGGGAACAGCATACACCAGTTCTATCAGAAGAAATGAATGGCCTCTCTTTCTTCTAGGCTGCAGGAGAAAGCATGCTGGGATGTAATGTCAGCTGTTGAAGAGGCTGGGCTCGGGCTGGAGAGATGGCTCAGAGGTAGGGAGCACTGACTTGGTCTTCCAGAGGACCTGGGTTCAACACCCATGTGGCAGCTCACAGCTGTCTGTAATTCCAGTTCGAGGGGGACCGGATACCCATTGCAAAAACACCAATGTACATAAAAAAAAAAAAAAAAGAAAAGAAAGAAAGAAAGAAAAGAGGAGACTGGGCTCTTTCTGTAGTGCAGTAACTGCTTCTCTCCATGACAGTAAAGAGTGAGGAGCCAGAGCTGAGTGTCAGGCATGGCTCCTAGAGTGTGACTGTCTAGTAGTGGGGCACACAAGCAGCCACCACCCTGTCCTTACTCACCGGAACAGAGACTCCCCCAGGGAGGACAGGTATTCCAGAAAGATTTCTTCTGTGACTTCTGTGCTCCCCACATCAACCACAGTGTCTGGGGGCCCAAGCAATGTCCCTCCCTGAAAGAGTCAACCCAAGAAAGTCACTAAGTCACCATTTCTATCACTTTCGATTTCTTTTGGCTGTTCTGGGGATCAAACCCAGGACTTTATGCATGCTAGGCAAATACTCTATCACTGAAATCCTCAATGCCCTCTGTTAACTTTTAAGACGGGATCTTATGAACTCCAGGCTATCTTCCCATCTGTTAAATTATTATGTAACCCTGGCTGGCCTCCAACTCATCTGCCTCTGCCTCCCAAGTGCTGGGAGTAAAGGTGTGTACTACTATGTCAGCCTTGAATTTTTTTTTTTAAAGATTTATTTATTTGTTATGTATACAGTGTTTTGTTTGCAAGTTTGCCTGCATGCCAGAAGAGGGCATCAGACCTCATTATAGATGGTTGTGAGCCTCGTGTGGTTTCTGGGAATTGAACTCAGAACCACTGGAAGAACAGTCAATGCTTTTAATCTCTGAGCCATCTCTCCAGCTACTTGTTCCTTTTAAAATTGTGACTTCCCACACAAAACTAGAAAACTCTGCCCCAACAGCTTCATTTTTAACTGCTGGAACACTCTTTTCATAGGAAGAGGGCTATTTTCTGTTAGTGTTAAGGTTATAGAGTTTAGAGTTCATCTTTTGGTTGCTTGTGGGGCCTGGAAATTGATTCCTGTGCACTGGGTCTCTACACTGTCCATTCATTCTATTGTTAAAAAGACAAAAATCTTGAGTGTGATGGCATACACTTTTAATCCAAACACTCTAGGGGCAGAGTCAGGCAGATTTCTGAGTTTGAGGCCGGCCCAGTCTACATATGGAGTTCCAGGACAGCCAGGACTACACAGAGAGACCCTGTCTCAAAAAATATAAACAACAAAAAGACAGAAACCTAGAGCCTGTAGTCTCCTTTTGTCCCCAACAGATGAACACAAGGACAGAACATGACAGCTGGGCTGCCACAGGAGACTAAAAGAGTGGGAACAGTAGCTAAAGGGTTATGCAACAGGACATCAAGAAGGGTAGATTTGAGAAAGTGGAACACTCACAGGAGTCTGCCTATAAAAGTCACTGATGGACAGCCCCAGAGCACTTCCCTTGAGCCTGACATTGCTTTAGGTATTGGGGAAGGCATGGTGAGCAAAATCAGTAACTATGGCAGCCAGAGGAAAATTACTTAATGTTGCAGAGACTAAGAGGTCACTATTTGAATTCCTATTGTTCATCCATATAATAATTATGACTTACATGCTACATATAATGCTAGACACTGGGAGTACAATGTACACAAACATGAGACTTCTGTCCTTGTGGAACTTGAAGTTTATTAGGGAAGGCAGATAAAAAAAAATTCTCTACATCAGTGAATCACAAGAAGCTGAAGTAAGGGCCACTCTGAGAAAATGCACAACGCCATTCCTTAGTACCTATGGCAGGGGAGGGCCAGGATGAGGTTTGCTGGAGGGACTGAACACCCAGCTCAGACCTGAAGAATGGAGAGGCACATCCAGGGAATTATACTGAAATTGGAGTATAGGTTTATATGCCCAAGCTGGAAAGGGCAGAGGTGGGGAAGATACAACCAGAAAAGAGGATGGCTAGAGAGGGATCTAGAGACAAGGTCAGTGGGAGACCCTGCTGTAAGGCTACAGCAGGGGAATACTTGAAAAATGAAATTCCTTTAAAAAACACTCTAACAGCTGGGCGTTGGTGGTGAATGCCTTTAATCCCAACACTCGGGAGTCAGAGGCAGGCGGATCTCTATGAGTTCGAGGCCAGCTTGGTCTCTAGAGCGAGTGCCAGGATAGGCTCCAAAGCTACAGAGAGAAACCCTGTCTCAAAAAAAACCCCCCAAAAAAAAAAAAAAAAAAAAAAAAAAAAAAAAAAATCCCAGCACCTCAAAACTCACCATGTAGGAGACAGCAGCACACGCCTTTAAAAACCACAGCACCCAGGAGGCAGAGGCAGGAGGATCTTTTTGAGTTCCAGGACAATCAGGGATATACAATCTCAGCACTAGGGTGATAAAGAGGGAAGGATTAGAAGCCCAAGGTCATCCATGGCTACATGGTAAGTTTGATGCAAGCATAGTTGTGCATTATCTTTAATTGGGAAGCAGAGGCAGGAAGATCTCAAGAGATTCAGTCTTTAAAAATTCTGTCTTCTACATGAAGGACAGAGGGAGATCAGGCTAGTTTCATAGGTCTAGCCTAGACAGGAAGTGGTCAGGACTGCAGTGAAAGCTCTGGAGGGATGGGGAAGAGATGAAGAGAGAGAGACTGACTTAAGATACAATGACAAGGTGGAAATGACCAGGCTTTCTTGTTGCAAACATGCCTGTGATCCTAGAACTTGGGAGGTAAAGACAAGCATCAGGAGGCTCAAGCTGAAGATACTCAGCCACACGAGATCTTTTTACCCCCAAAAGCAAACACACAAAGAAGTGGCCAGGCTTAAGGAAAGACTTGTTATAGGTTGGGTGGTCAGTGAAAAATCAAGAATGCTTTCCTACTGATGATATCAAAATGGATGGTTGGTCTTTGCTTGAGTACATCCCATGACAATCCTGAGATGGCTCTGAGAGAAATGCTCTGAACAGGACTTGGTATTGGAATCAGAAAGATCATGTGAGAAAGGGATTCACAGGAGCAGGCTGACTGGAGGAGGGCAACTGCCTGGGTTAGCTGAAAGGGTGTTATTGGATGAGGGTTCTTCTTCCTGTCTCTCTCCTTTCCTTCTCCCCAAGCCCCCATGCTGAGGGTGAAATATGGGAAGTTGATGCTAGCTAGGCAAGTGTTTACTGAGACACACCTCCAACTATTGAAAGCATCTTAAAGCTTTTATTCTTTTATTGGCTTAACATTGGTTTTGAACATTTATTTATCTATTGGTGTGTATGTATGTATGCAAAGTGGTCAGAGAACAACTTGCAGGAGTCACTATAGGGGTGGCAGGGACCAAATTCAGGCCATCAGACTTGGTGGGTAGCAAGGAACTTTTATCTGCTAACCATCTCACTAACCCTATTTTTAAATGTATTTTTAATATAAAATTTATTTCTACCTGTATGGGTATTTTGCTGGCATGTATATCTGTGTACTATCGGCACACGGCACCTGAAGAGGGCATTGGATTCTCTGAAACTAGAGTTACAGATGGTTGTGAGCTGCCATGTGAGTGCTGGGAATCAAACGTAGGTCCTCTGGCAGAGCAGTGTTTGTGACTGTTGAATAACCTTTCCCATGAAGCCCCATCTTATTACATTATCTATCACAGCATGCACTGCACATGAGCTCCAGGCAGAGATGAATTATGGGATGATTTTCTTCTACTTCTGTGTATGTTCTAGAGACTGAACTCAGGTTTTCAGGCTTGGTGTCAAGCACCCTGACCTGCTGGGCATTTCTAAGCCATCACACTAGTCCTTTGTTAGGAGTGATTTTTTGAGATAGGGTCTCATGTAACTCAAGCTAGCCTTGAACTTCATAGGCAGCCAAGAAAGACTTGAACTCCTGATCCTCCTGTCTCTACTCACAAGTATTAGGATTATAAAACTGCTCAGTTTGTCTTTTTTTGAGAAAGTGTTTCTGTAGCCCTGGCTGTTCTGGAACTCTCTGTAGATAAGGGTAGCCTTGAACTTACAGAGATTTGTCTGCTTCTGCTTTCCAAGTGCTTGGGATTAAAGGCATACAGTACACCACCATGCCTGGCTTATGTGCTAATATAAGGAAGTACCACAGGCCAGAGGTACATGGCGGAAGCCAAACTTCTCAGGCTATAGAAACCCCCCCAGAAATCTGCAGATCAGGGGGTGACACTCACCGGGGGACAGCTGGAAATACCGCCACTGCCGAAGAAGAACTCATCCTTGTGTACAACTATAGAGGTGTGCCTGCCAGAGAGGGACAGTGAGCCAGAAAACTTATAACTTCTCCAAGAAAAAGCAAGTACCATACTGCAGTGAGAGTAATTTCTGCCCAAAGATGTCACTGTGGTAGCCAATTTTATTATATTAGCCAGATGAAGACATGAGTAAGACATATTCAAGTGTCCTTCTAAATCTGGGATGATTGAACTGGAATTGTCCTCATTCCCACCCCCAAATTCACAGATGCTTAAGTGCCCTGGCTAAAATGGAATAGGACATACACAGAACTTATACACACCCTTAAGTACACTTTGAATCATTTAAAGATGACACATAGGATTGTACATGATGTATGCCATACAGTCATCACACTCTACTAAGGGAATAATGGTAAGAGTCTGTACATTTAGGATAGGACAAGCACTTTTACTTTTCAGGACATTTAACATTTTCCCTTTTCTCTCTTCTTTTCTTTTTTTTTTGGGGGGGGGGAGGGTTCTGAGACAAGGTTTCTCTGTGGCTTTGGAGCCTGTCTTGGAACTAGCTCTTGTAGACCAGGCTGGTCTCGAACTCACAGAGATTCACCTGACTTTGCCTCCTGAGTGGTGGGACTAAAGGCGTGTGCCACCACGCCCGGCTTCTTTTCTTTTTTTTAAGGCAGAGTCTCACTATGTAGCCTTGGTGGGCTTGGAGTTCCTCACATAGACAAGACTCTCAGAGATCTTGCTTCTGCCTCCCCTCTTGGGTGCTGGGATTAAAGGAGTGTGCCACCACTTCCAGCTAACAGCAAGGACTTTGATGCTGCTTTCAGGAGTGAACGTATGCCCAGGAACGGATAACACAGTGGTATACGCCTTTTTTGGGAATATTTTCAACTTGCAATGAGTGGAACTCGTGGGCAAAGAGGGCAGACAGCTCCACAGATCAGGTGTCCCTCTGGGCACTGACACTGGGGGTAGATGACTCCATTGTGGGAAGCATTAATAGAAGATGATTACCCAGGAGGTGACACTAGCACCCTCCCTCTAGTTCTGACTAAAAAAAAAAGTCTCTAGACATGGCCAATATCTTGTGAGGTGGATGGAAAAATCAGCTCCATGGAGAACTGCTGTTTTAGGATATGGGAAACTGCAGGCTGGAGAGATGGCTCAGCAGTTAAGAGCACTGCCTATTCTTCCAGAGGATTCAGGTTCTATTCCCAGCACCCACATGGTGGCTTACAACTGTCTGTAACTTGAATGAGTGTCATGGAATCTGACGCTCTCTTTTGGCCTCCTGGGCAGCAAGTACATACATGGTACATAGACATACATACATCCATACACATAAAAAAAAATCTTAAGGAAAAAACAAAAGGATATGGGAATTAAACAACAAGAGCCAAGCTTTGAGCTGGGAGTTGCAGAGACACTGACTCATGTAGTGAGCTGCCCTGGTTCACCAGCAGTTAATATGAAGAGTCCCGCCTCTGCTTACCAGATGCCTTCCAGTTGTTTCCCTGTGGAGAAAAGGAGAGGTTTAGCCATCTGGGACAAGACTGAATGCCCCCCATGAGCCTGAGTAAACTTAGGATTCACACAAACCAGGAGAAAACTGTTAGAGGACCTGGAGGACCTTCTAGAAACTCAGCTCTGCTCCATGGCAGTCCTCTGCTTGTGACAAGGGTGCACTGCATTCAGGATGTTGAGAAGCAATTTTGCTTTACCAGAAAGCAAATAAAAACACTGGCACATGTTTTTGTTGTTGTTGTTTGTTTGTTTTGAGACAGGGTTTCTCTGTGTAGCTTTGGAGCCTATCCTGGCACTCGCTCTGGAGACCAGGCTGGCCTCAAACTCACAGAGATCCGCCAGTTTCTGCCACCTGAGTGCTGGGATTAAAGGCATGTGCCACCAACACCTGGCTTCAGACTCACTTAAAAATTTTTTTCCCATGTATTTACTTAGTGTGTACATGTGAACATGCCATGGTGTACATATGGAGGTCAGATGACAGTTTGCAGGAGTCAATTCTCTGCTTCCCTCATCCTCAGGTGACCAAGCTAGCCATTAAGCATCTTTACCCATTGAGCTATCTTCTGGCCCAAATATAAGACTAGCATTCCCTTTTTATTTTATTTTAGTGCTGGGGATCAAACCTAGGGCCTTGTGTATGCTAGGCAAACATTCTAACACTAAGCCATACCATTAGGCCTATTTAGTTTTGTTTGAAGCAACTTACTGGATAGCTCAGGCTGGCCTCAAACTAAAAGCAATCCTCCTAGCTCAGATTCTTGATGCTGAGATTACAGGTATGTGTCACCTGAATCTATAACCCTTCCCCACCTCCCCGTGTGTGTGTGTGTGTGTGTGTGTGTGTGGGAGGGGGGCAGAAGTTGACATTAGGTATCCTTCTTAATCACTTTCTATCTTCTTTTCGACACAGAGTCTCTTAATGAACCTGACATCCTTAATTCAGATTCCTGAGTTAGCCAGAGAACCCCAGCAATCCTGTCTCCACTTCTCCAAAGCTGGGGTTACAAGTGTGTACCACCACACTTGGCACATGCTGCTCTCCTACAGGATTCAAGTTTGGTTCCCAGCACTCATACTGGGTGGTTTATAACCACTTGTAACTCTAGCTCCTGGGGATCCAATGCCTTCTTTTGGAGTTTGAAGCACCCATACATATACACAACACAGATGTACACACTCATATATACAAGTAAAAATAAATATTAAAAAGATTCTGTGGTAAGGCCAGCAAGATGACTCAGCAAAACAAACAGACAAAAAGGATGATTCAGCAAGTAAAGGCACCCAACACCATGCCTGATGACCTGAATTCAACTGGGTCACATGACAGAAGAAGAGACCCCACTCCTGAAAGTTGTCTTCTGATCCTCCACATGCAGGCACACACACTTACTAAATGTAATTAAATTCCCACTCCTGAAAGTTGTCTTCTGATCCTCCACATGCAGGCACACACACTCACTAAATGTAATTAAATTAAACAAAAGAAAGAAAGAAAGAAAGGAAGAAAGAAAGAAAAAGAAGAGTTAAGAGACCGGCATGGTGGCATATGCCTATAACCCAGCATCTGGGAGGCAGAGGCAAGAGGATCAAAAGTTCAAAGTCATTCTTAGCTACACAGTGACTGAGGCCAGTCTGGAGAATAAACTGCTATGAGAGACATGGTAGAGAGGATGAATTGGAGAGGAGTTAAAGAGTAGGTTAGAGGCCATGGAAAAACCCAAGAGAGACAATACACAAAGCACTTGGAGGGACAAGGAAGGCAATGAAGGAGGTTGGACCTCAGGTGACACAAGTGAACCTCACTCACTCACCAGGGTTCATATCAGTTCAAAAGAAGGCTTATTGACTGCCAAATGTCACCCTCATTGTTTGCTCTGGACCTGCTTAAGGACAAAACCCATGTTGCACGGAAGGACAGCAGGATGCTTACATACACTTTTGTTGCGTTATATAAATTATAGAATTTTAAATATGTATCTCATTCTTTAAAATTGTTTATTTGTATGGGGGAATGCACCGAGTCTTGAACATGCTAAGCATGGACTCTACTACTGTATACTCCAAGGTCTAGGTTTTTGATTTTGTTTTTTCCTTTTCTGAGACAAGGTCTCATGTATTCTAGGCTGGCCTCTAACTTGCTATGTAGCCAAGGATGACCTTCCCTCCCACTGACTTCCACCTTCTGGGATTAAAGACATTTAACACCACACTTGATTTATGTGATACTAGGGATCAAGCCCAGGTTTTTGTGCATACTAGGTAAGCACTTTGCCAGTGGAGTCACATATTTTTAAATGTTACAGTGTACATTTACTATTTACTTTGAAAAGATGAATAAGACCCATATTTTGAGTCCGGTGGTGATGTACGCCTTTAATCCCAGCACTCTGGAGGCAGTGGCAGATGGATCTCTGTGAGTTCGAGGCCAGCCTGGTCTCCAGAGCGAGTGCCAGGATAGGCTCCAAAGCTACACAGAGAAACCCTGTCTTGAAAAACAAAACAAAACAAAAAAAAAAAACCAAAAAAAAAAAAAAAAGAAAAGAAAAGAAAAAGAAATGGAAGGCTCACTGTGTCAGAGCCTACCCTCAGGAAGAAAAGAACGAGGACTATGGCCTTGGCAAGATGGCAGGCATGGGAAAAAGCAGGCTGAACTGAGTTTAATTTTTTAGGCAAGATTAAGATGGGAGAAGGTGAGGTGGGGGGAGTAGTCTGAGCTATGAAAGTAGGGCACAAAGCCCTTTGGGGACATGAATTAGACTCAATAGATATTAGCACAGAGCGGATTATTTCCCACTGGGATTTCCTCAGCAAACTGCAGAGTCGGTAGTCACATGACTGCATGTCTTTAAGCTTATTGGCACACCCAATACACTCATTCTGAGGTCTATGGAGTATGGATGTGGGAAACAAATGAAGACATTGGCGTCAGCTCATGGATGACAGAAGGTGTGAGGCAAGGTGTACAATTGTCAACCTCTACTGCCCAGGAGTAAAGTATACTGCTGCTGCTATGCACATGTCTATTATTAAGAGTTAAATGGTGGCAAGTGATGGAACTCCCAAGGCACAAGCCTCTTACAAGTGGCATTTTGTCTCAGTTTGGTAGATCAAGTACAGCCCCAGTTCACTTTACACAGTCCTTTCCTAGCAACAAAGTATTTAACTGGCGCTTTGCCATCAATGAGACGCTTCTGTGTTAACTGGGAAACTCTGCTTATTCTCTGGGAAAAAGTAAAAGGAAGCCCTCTGCCATCAATATTAAGAGAAATGCCTATTAGCAGAAGGGTTTACCATCCTTGTCTGAGAGGAGAGAAGGAGTGCCGGGAATTACCACAAAAGACCTGAGGGTGAAGTTCAGTGGTAGAGAATTTGCCCTAACCCACACACAAGGCACTGAGTTCTAACCTGAGCACCATAAAGTAATAAGTAAAAATTTAAAAGGTAGGCTTAAAACACTTAACAGGCAGGGCAGTGGTGGCACATGTCTTTAATCCCAGTACTCGGGAGGAAGAGGCAGGCAAATCTCTGTGAGTTTGAGGCCAGCCTGGTCTACAGAGTAAGTTCCAGGACAGGCTCCAAAGCAATACAGAGAAACACTGTCTCCAAAAACAACCCCCCCCAAAAAAAACCCCAAAACCAGTGTAGTACAGATTCTTTAGAGTCAGTAGAGGATTTTTTTTCCTAGTGTAAAAATAGATGTGATAATACATACATGTAATCTTTTTTTTTTAAAGATTTTTTATTATGTATACAACATTCTGTTTCTATGTATATCTGCACACCAGAAGAGGGCACCAGATCTCATAACAGATGGTTGTGAGCCACCATGTGGTTGCTGGGAATTGAACTCAGGACCTCTGGAAGAGCAGTCAGTGCTCTTAACCTCTGAGCCATCTCTCCAGCCCCATACATGTAATCTTAACTCTTGGAGCTGAGGCACAACTGCTGTGCGACCAGCCTGAGGTACAGGATATGTAAGCCAAATAAACTCTTTCCTCCCCAAGTTGCTTTGGTCACAGCAACAGTAACCCTAACTAGAACACTATTTTTTTCTCTTAACAACAGAACTGGACTGTATTGTAGAGTCCAACCTAGGAAGACTGGGGCTATCATGTGTTAAATATGAGGAGGCTGCAGACATTAAGCAGGGGTATGCAGAGTTGCAAGCTACATGTGTTTGCATTTGCATGATAAAGATGTAGGGTTACTATTCATTCCCTCATTCCTTCAGTGAGCACACAATGAACAATACCAACAAAAAACAAAGCACAATAGATTGCATTAAAACATAAAAGAAAAACAAAAACCCTCTCTCAGATTTGAAAATTCTAGTTAATCTCCAAGTCTGAATCATTCCTATAATCAATACTGGGAAAGAGGGTATTATAGTTCAGAGAGGCCTTGGTTTCCTGCCCAGCACCACCCACATGGGTGCTCAAATCCCTTAAGAAGCACCCACTCTCAGCAGTCACTGGGGGTACTCTGAGGAATGGGGTGTGTGCCTCCAGAAGCTCCAGACTTCTGCTGAAAAGACTCAAGTAGCTGCTTCATTTATCCTGGCATGCAATAGTCATCTCTTTTATATGGTCATTTAATTTTATACATGCATATACATTACTTTTCAAGAAATTAACACCTAGAGTAAAGAGGCCCTATTTCATTGTTCTAGAATCTAAAAATATAAAGATCTAAATATTCACTTCTGTCAAGATGAATGCAGATTCAGTGACTTTTTTTTATTTTCAAACCTAACACTTCATACATGCTAGACAAGCACTCTACCACACAATTTCCCAAAACTTTAACTTGAGAACAATTTGATGAGCTAAGAAAAAAAAAAACAAAAAAACAAAAAAACAAAAACTATTAGGAATGCATGTAAAACTTTGAGTCAGAAAAGAAACACGAAACACCTATTAGCCTAGTTAAAAAACCATTTTCAGGGTTGGTGAGATGGCTCAATGGGTAAAGGTGTTCAACATGT